ATCAAATCAAAACACTACAAATCAAATCAAAACACTACAAATCAAAATAAAAAACCTACAAATCAAAATAACAAAAATAAAAAATTTAGATCAACAACAACAAATCAAAACAAACTACAAATAAAATAAAACTACCAATAAAAAATAAAAAAAACTACAAATTAATAAACAGCAACTTTTGAAAAAACATTACATTAAGCGAAACCAGAAGAGGTGGGAAAGGTGGGACCAGTGGGAAACATGAGACATCACTGATCGGACGATGGGGCGTTTGAAACTTCCACCTTTCCCACCTCTTCTGGTTTGCTTAATGTAATTGTGTTTTTTTTGTGTGTGTTTGCAAATAAAAAATACACAACAAATTAAAAACACACAACTACAAATCAACAATGGTTTTTTTTATTTTGTAGTTGTGGTTTAAAACTTCAGGGCCACCGTAGTTTCTGCACTCGGGCAATTCCCATGACTACTTTGGCCTTTACCAAAGCTGCTGATCTTGTTTTTCAATAATCAACCTAAACAACCAACAGGAGACGTTCAGTTCCTACTGTTACAAGAACAGCTTCAGCATCATCTCATTTTAATTGTGACAGGTGTGCTCCCAGCATCAAGGGCCCGCGGAGACATTTGGCAACGAAGACGTACGCCAAACAAGCAAGGCACAGAAAGAAATCACAGGTCTACTGTTGGTGCTGATGGCCCTTTGAGCTTCCACAGAGCTAAACAGAACATTGATGGAATACTTTAGGGTTTTACTCGTGTCTGTCTTTTTAGTCCCAATCTGCTCGAGTGGTTCTGAAACTGCTCGAGGAGGAAGTCTGATTCTGCTGCTGTGAGAAGTTCAAAGGTGTTTGAGACAGGACAACATCAGACCCGAGTCCAGTGTGCTCCTTTTACCTGAAGCGTTGTGCCTGCTGTGCGAGGGGTCCTGGGTACCTTCGATTGGGCGACTGATACAGCTGGGACAGCAGAGCCTGGCTCGTCTTCTGGCTCGGGTTGTTTGCAAACTTCACTGTAATGGGTTCAGTGGCACCAGGCGGCTTTTGACAGTTTAGACCTTTGATGGCCTCCTCAGCTTCGACTCGCCGGTCAAAACGAATGAAGCCAACGCCCCTGGAGACACCTGAGAACACATCCACCATTTGTCCCATTAATGGTGAGAAGGTTTTGGTTGTTTCTAATAAAAATGGTTACACTCCCACATGTCTGCTGAGAAATGCTGCTCTAACTGCATTTCATTTCATGTTATAAAACGTGCATCACATGTACAACTTGGGGGTGAAAAGTAAAAATGAAAAAAGGAAGAAGTTCCAAACAAAAATAAAACCACTGGAGGATGAAAATTTGGAAGCACTGCTACTTTAAACACATTTTAATATCCCATCGATGCATATTTATGAACACCTCAAGTGGAAAATTGTGTTTTTGGGTGCCTCACGTCACCACCATGGAAGCATCTTTCAGCCCTACAGTCATTTTGATCAGCAGTCCCAAGGGAGGGAGGGGAGTGTATGTGTCATTGTTAAAGAACAATAAATAAATAGAAAAAACAAAACAAAACAAAAAAACCTTGAGCCGTCGTGTCTTACGCACCTGTCACCTGATCCACCAGAATCCGTGAGGTAATGATGCGTCCGTACTGAGAGAAGAGCTGCTCCAGTTCCTTCTGCGTCATGGTCTTGGGCAAACCGCTGACGTACAGATTGGCGTCTCTGATGGAGGCGGAGCTCGGACGTGCATAAGAAACCTGGAAGGAAACTGTTCAAGTGAGCACCACATGCAGTAACGACCATGTTTCAGAATGATCTCAGGGTGGGTCGCTCGTCAACTTTCACGTTGCGTTCATTCAAACATGAGCTCAGGCTGTGACCCAGTTACAGCTAAATCTATGCTAACATACTTTAAACCACTCGGAACAACTCCAGCCTTTACCAGCCAAACACAGATGGACTTGTGTGTGAATGTTTATGAAGCCTTCACTCTATTGTGATCCAGTTTTCTTCCGTATGTTTGTCGGCATCATTCTCGTCCACAATTTTTGTGCCATTTCAACAAATCCTATATCAAAACGTTCAGCTGTTTGGTATTGGTGCAACTTTAGCTTTTTAAAATATTTAGCCTTTGACATTTTTTTCCTCATAGAAAATGAACTGAGCTCATTTTACATCCTTCAAATCTTTAGATCCATTTACACCTTTTACTGCTCTTTTCACATTTTGTTCTGGTTTAGCTTCCTTGTGCAAATTAGGGCTGCAACAACGAATCGATAAAATCGATAAAAATTGATGATTAAAAGTGTTTGCAACGAATTTCGTTATCGATTCGTTGTGTCGCGCGATTATGCATCTTTCACAGCGCTGCGGAGCCGTTTCGTTTTGTTCACGAGCAGTTCATTGTCAATGCTGACTGACTGAATAAAGTTTGGGAAAAAAAAATGAAACTGCAGCGCGAGTTGAACAGAGTGAGGGGGGAGCAGAGCAGAGGCTGTTTTCAAAAGGGAAATAAGTAAATTTTACAAATGACCAACGCAGAGAAAACTGTTCGACCCAAGTCCTCCAAAGTGTGGGAGAACTTTACAAAGATAAAAAATGAGAAACATGCCGCTTTGAAAATCGCCGACACGACACGGGAGAACCATGGAGATAAACGTAAACCTGTCGGAGTCACAAGCTGCAGCTGATACAACTCGTCTCACTCCCAACTCGTGTTGCAGGTGAGTCTCTACAATTTAACACATTGTTCTGTTTCAAGAGAGAAAACGTAACATCAGTCTCTCTGGTAGATGAAGCTGTTTGTTTATCTGATTAATGACAGTGATAGAGAACGTGTGTTACATTTTATTTAATTTAATTGATACAAGCAGTGTTTAAATGTGATTTATAAATAAATCTAACACAAAGATAATAATTTAATGATTAAGCTTCAACTTTTAATTTGCTGGCAAAGTCTGAAGACACTGCAGGTATGGCAGGATGAATTGCATTTAAACAGGAATTAAATTCTAGGATTGCGCCGCTCAAGGTGGCTGCATGTTGGAGCAGCTCTGTTACTTTCATTCTGAGATTTTGCTTTTGGAAACTTTAATTCCTCTTTCTGGATGTAAATCACATTTTTGGATGATTGTCTCCTCTGGTATCAGATGCTGTGCAGCTGGAAGGATTTTTACTGAAACTTTTTTTAGTTTTGGACATTTGTTATGATGCGTAACCATGGCAACAAGGCAGTTTTCTACAACAACAGCAGCTGAATAACATCTCAAAAGCTGAAATAATATCTCAACTATGGCCCCAACTCTCAAATGAGTTGAAAAGGATGTTCTATGGATGCATTCTCATCTACCTGCCAGCTGTGCTCAAGTGCCTGACCACTGAGATCCTGGAACTAGCAGGAAACACGGCTCACGACAGCGGAAGAACAGGATCGTCCCTCAGCACCTACAGTTGGCTGTCAGCAGCTATGAGGAGCTCGGCAGACTTCTGGGAGGAATGGCCAACGCTCTGGGAGGAGTTCAGCCTGGCATTCAAGCGGTCCTACAGTCCAGGGGAACCGAGAGGCCAGCCGAGTCTGGGTGGGCGTATCGGACGGCATCTGCAGCCAGTTTCTTAGGATCCACTGTGGGATGGACCTTTACAAGAGATCCTTCCTGTCTACAGCCATCAGCATCTATAACATCTCAATGAAATGAGGATCACGAGTTACAACAAAATAATTTCCCTCTGGGATTAATAAAGTATTTTTGAATTGAATTGAAGTAATTTATTACATCTACTCAAATGTGTGTAATTAAGTAATATA